TAGATTCAGAATATATAAAATCTTACTGAGCATTTTGGCTTAGTTGAGAAGATATAGGCATTTTATTAATACTATCTGAGGTGGCACCTTAACGTATGCCTTCATCGTGATTCGTTGCCATGCATCAAACTTATTCGATCATCGCCAAAGCTCGACTGAAGTAACTACCTCCTTATTCTGATTTACCATGAGATTGTTCGAAAAGTTCATCAAACTTATTTCATCATCGCTTAAATGAATCTCAAGAGGCTAGCTCTCTGTTATGTTAAAAATAGGAAAGCAAGCATTTTTTGGCGTATGCCATTCCATTATTTCATCGCAGAATCTTTCAACTCTTACATATTGATCAGTCGTGAAACGGATTCGAGATCTTTGATCGCCAGCTAACTTTGAGTATGACCTTTGAGTATCTGTTCTGTGGTTTACAGGCCAATGAACCTACGGTACCATCGGCCACCGGTACGGACGTTTGGACGAATTATGTGGAAAATGGTCGGGTCAGATTCGATCGTCTCCATTCAGTCAACGCAGTGCTTGCGTTCGAACGGAACGCTGCTGGTGCAGCCGAGCCCATGGAGCTGCCTTTAATATCGAAGAAGGAGTTATTCGAGAAGTTGAAACAGAAGAACGAACAACGAAACCAAATCGAACTCGATAAACAAAAACTACCGGAGAATCAGCAGATTGGACACTTCGGACAAGGTGAGTTCATGATTATGAATAGGATTTGAACGAGTGCTCAAATTTAGGAATGATTCAGTGTGTGTTTCCTTTGAGTGTCTATTGTGAACTAAGAAGCATTTCCCACACACGGGACATACAGTTCACAGAGTCTGCATAATGCACTAAAAAGGATGATGTGAAAAAATTGAATATTACTGGTAGGATCTGAGTGTGTAGTTCGCATCAAGGTGATGCCTCCTACTTATGTCGGCCCGAAGTGATCACTCGGAAATCGCACGGACTTGATTAAGTGCCTCCAAAGTGTAGGCTGCATTGAAAGTAGTCGTTTACATAAACTCGATGTAAAAGTTCTCAAACTGTTATGACTGCACATCTTCCGATGCACTCACTAAGAGTATTCAATAATTTATGGGGTGAATAATAAGAACCTAATGTATAAATCGGTTGAAGATAGTATCCACAATTCACGGAAGTCGACTTCGATTACATTTGATTGATAGTTCAGTGATAGGATTATATATTATTATATTGATGACAGTTTAGTGATTAGGATTTTCACATTTTGAGAGCAACCATCAATAAGGATAAATGAGTTCATCTAATGTGATCAAGATTATTTGTTCTGAATATGCGCTTCCTTGGAATCGCCCATTTCGCTGGGTATGAAATCGGTTGAACCTTAAATCAACATAATACCATACTGATCAAGAGTAATCAAATGTAAATCCAAACGTGTTCTATCAGCATTGCCATTTACGAAAACTTTAAACAGCTTCATGAATCCCCTACAACAAAAAAAGTTCAAGATGGATTGTGATTTCAGAAACTAAAGTTGACATGGTGGAACTTCCTGATTCCAACGAGGGTGATTACAAAGAGATGGTCAGTTCATTTGCTTTTTGGATGGTTTGATGCAGACTTCCTTAGTAATAAATAATATTCATTTGAACATTCCTCCAATTCAGCACAAGTGAATAACGAAAGAAATCAACGAGAGAGTGATTGATAATAATATTGCAATGTTTTTCAGCGTTGAGTCATAACGGCACTATTGTCGAAGATGGACATACAAGTTGATGTTCAAAGAGTTTTCGATGCGCCCGTTTGCAGTAGGAAATGTTCTCACATACGAATGCTACACTCATTTAAACTGATCACTGTTATGAATATAATCTTTTTAAGGAGTGATTAATATTATTACTATCAGTTATGTATCATTATTTTACCGTTAATTCGTATATCGATGCGCCAATTTACTCGCTTTGCTCACATATTTGTTACCAGCTTCTATTCGAGAGAAGTTATCATTTGACCTCGACAACAGCACTTTCCCGATTCTGAGCAAAATTCTCAGCTGGTAGAATTTCTCTCCTTTCCATGAACACTTCAAAAATTTTTTCTGCTTCAATTTCACTTCTGACTCTTCGCTATCCGTGCAAGGGACGATTGTCACAATTTAAGCATGAGCACAAACCATGTTACCATCGGATCCTGTACTTTGACGATAAACCAGTGCAAGTTCAGATTGAGACTCTTCCGAACTCTTATTCAAGTTCAGTTTTTAGGCGTGATTTTCGAGGTTATTCCCGCCAAATACAACGATCAATTCAATTGTTCATAATATTTTTGATATTTTACTGCATTTACCATATCTATGTGCCACATTCTTCAGTCATTTTTTTTAAATTCACTTTTTCATGCTTTCATAATGTCATTCCCATCGTACATTGTATAGTTTCTCTTTTTGTCGTGAAAGTTCCGAAAAATATCTTCGAATTCGGAGGGAAGAAATGAATTCAATTGCCATGATTGAACTGATCTTTCATTGATCATATTTTACAACCCCAGTCGATATTCTAATGAAACGTGAACATTTTGTTCATCATTTTCAATTTAATGCTTTTTGCGAACTCACAATTCACAAAGGAGAGAACGAGTAACGACAAAGTTGATTTATTATTATTATTTGTACAGAATTTCAATGTCAGCATAGTACAACACGGCACATGAACGACGCGCATGAGTGAAGTTGAACAGAAACTGTACAATTGCAACATGAGATTATCAACGTGTTCACGGTAATGAGATTGTGCAATATCGATATTGTTGTTTGATGCAATGGAAATGACTCCCTTATCGTAACGATAAAATCTTCTGATACACAATGTTACATACAGTCTGAGATCGTGCACACAAAATGAAATCTCGATGCAATAATCACTAGGATATAACCAACTATTTCATGCTCATCTCAGTGTGGTGCACTAAGTTTGGTACTCGAATTTATTGCAGTGTTTTTGTTTTTTGCTTCAGATCCTTCAGCAGTAGAATATAGTCAATCGTGCACCAATTCACGATGTCCAAGTTAAATTTTTATCCGAATAAACCATGCATTTTGAACGCAAATAAGTTCTGAATCGTGAACAACATGGTGATTTGATATAGGTTCTGCCCGAAGCAAAACAACCTTCCACGGTTGGGTTGGAAACACGATGAAAATTTTCGAATGGAAAAGCGTTCAGAGT